GGGGATTCCAGAACAGAAAAGAAAGTCTCTAGTTTGCTGTTTGATAAGTGCAACATCTTTACCTTGTCACTTACTAATTTCCCACCCAGTGGTAGGAAGCCGTTGGTTTGATCACATCAGAGGCTGGTATGAGCACAGACATGACTTCAGTATTCTGTTTATGATGTATGAGGAAATGAAAAAGGTAAGAGGCAAAGGTTATTTTTAAAAATTATTTCTTTGAAACCCTTTTTGATTTTGGTTTAAATGAACCACATTTTCCCAGTTTTCTTGGAACCTAACTACTTCTCATGCTTTTTCAGGGGTTTCTCATTTCCTGCCTGTCCCTCAATTATTGGTTTCCTCAGGGCTCTCTTCTCACTGTACACAGTCATCTTTTGTGGTTCCTTTTCATGCAGCCATCTGTGTCAATAAGGGCAAACTCACATGACTAGTGATTGAAAAAAGAGAAAAGGCACTTCGAAACAGTGGGGCCAACCGTGGCCCGTGTGACTAGTTGGTTAGATGTCATCCTATGCACTGAAGGGTTGCTGGTTCAATTCCCAGGCAGGACCTGGGTTGCAGGCTTGATCCCTGGTAGGAGGCACGGTGTTTCTCTCCCTCTCTATTTCTCTCTCTAAAAATCAATAAAAATATTACACAAACCAACAACAAGCAAAAACAACTGGGGCGTGAAGCCACTAAGATTTGGACAATTAGTCAGAGGTAATTGTGTGCCCAGTGATGCAAGTTCTTTGTGTTTTGTTGTTGTTTTTATTAAAAAGAATCTTGAAATGTAGCTTTCATGTGAAATCACATAATATTTACAAGTTGGCATCCAAAGAAAACTGTCTTAATACATTGTGTAAACCCAACCAAACACATTTGAAGTTGACTATTTTGTGATCACTGGTTGATATGTTGACTCACTGCTACAAATCTTACTTGCTCACTAATTCAAAATTTTAAAATGCCTATTATGTGACAGACAGTAAGACATCAGAAAAAGACAATTGAACCCTTTATTTATAGAACTTATAATCCAACAGGGAAGATAAGTATTCACTAAGTAGGTATATATACTTCAAACCTCTGAAAACTGTTATCAAGGAAAAGTGCAGATATGATAAGATAGTACATGAAATATACTGATCTGGTATAAGTAATAGGCAATTATTTCTGGAAAAGTAACATGACAACTTCAAGTGAATAGATATGAGTTGGCAGAGACGTAAAAGAGAAGTCTAAGCCAAAAAGAGAGAACATGCAAATTATCTGAAGCATCAGGTGCATGATATCTTGGAAAGAAGAAGTTAATGAGCAAGGTGGAAGGAATGAAAGATTAAGATAGAGAGGTGTATACAGTAGGAGCCAGACCATGCAAGGTCTGTAGACTTTGTTAGTGATAGTAGTTTCTTCATCTTAAGAGCAATAATGAGCCCTTTAACAGTTATTTCAATAATAATATGTGGTAGAATTAATATCTTAAATATGTAATTCCCTCTCATGGGTTTAAAAGTGATAATAGTAAATATAGGCAAACTAGTTAGAGACCAGTTTGGTAAGCCACTGTTCATTGTTAGTGTAAATAAATGCAAATGATTTGGAGATGTTGGTTTCGTATCTACAACTTTGCTGAGTTTTTTAATTGTTCTAACAGGGTTTTTGTTGTTTGTTTGTTTTTGTAGAACTTTAGTGTTTTCTATGTATATAATCATGTTGTATGTGAACACATAATCTTACGTCTTTCTTTAAATTTGGATGCCTTTTTCTTGTCTATTTACTCTGGCTAGGACTTCCCCTACTAGGCTGAATATAAATGGTGAGAATTGGCATCCTTGCCTTGTTCCTGATCTTTAGTTGTTGTTGTAGTTGTTAATCCTCACCCGAAGATATTTTCCCATTGATTTTTAGGGAGAGTAAAAGACAGAGAAAGGGAAAGACAGAGAGAAATATTGATGTGAGAGAAACACATTGATTATTTGCCTAGTGCACGTGCCCTGACCAGGGCCCAGTTGAGCAGGAGCTTGTAATTGTGGTACATTCCCTTGACTGAAATCAAACCCTGGACCCTTCAGTCTGAAGACTTAGGCTCTATTAACTGAGCCAGACCAACTAGGGCTGTTCATCTTTGCATTCAAAGAGTAAATCCCACTTATTCATAGTGTATTGTCCTTTTAATGCATTACTGAATTTGTTTTACTAGTAATTTCTTGAGGATTTTTGTATCTTATCTTTCATAAATGATATTGGTTTTTAGTTTTCTTTTCCTGTAGTCTCATTTGGCGTATCAGGGTAATGCTGGCCTTATAGAATGAGTTTGGAAGTATTTCCTCCTCTTTCATTTTTTTTGAAGAGTTTGAGGATTGATGTTAATTCTTCTTTAATTTGTGTTTGGTAGAAATAACCAATGAAGCCACCAAACTTGGACTTTCCTTTTTTGTAGCCATTGTATTTAATTACTTGCGTAACTCTTTCCCTCATGAAATTGTAAACTCTTAACAAGCACAGATAGCACGTTATTGTTCTCTTAAACTTCTCCAGCACCTATCACAGTTTCTGAAACCTAACATTCCTAAAAGTGCTAGTTGAATGAATGAATGAGTGAATGAAGGTAAGCTGTCCTTGTTAAATCAAACAGTAGAAAGCTCTAACAAAGCTGACAAGCAGAGCACTCATTTTCATAGAAGGAATAGAAAAGTAATATATCTTTGTCAAACTTTAGACTTACAATAAGTCCATTCACCTTCAGTTTTCCAAAATGTGGTAAAGGTGTTGTGATGTAACTCATGCATTCTTTGTAAGCTGAATAGTTTCTCATACTCACAATTCTTTCAGGATCTCAGAAGTTCTGTGCTTAAAATCAGCCATTTCCTTGAGAAAGAACTGAGTGAAGAGGATGTTGAAGCTATTGTGAAACAGTCTACATTTCAGAACATGAAGTCTGATCCCAAAGCCAATTATGATGAGATTCTAAAATATGAAATTGGGAAAAGAACAGATGAGGGACATTTTCTGCGCAAAGGTGATGCTCAGGAGTTTTTAGATGCAAAAATGTTGAGAGTTCCGTGATTGCTTGGCCCCTACACTAATTAAGGGGTGTTTTTACCGTGTCTTTCTAAGTACTGTCATTTGGAACCCGGAGAGAATCAAAGATCTTAACTGCCAATGGCCCTGAAAAGTATCCCAGGAAACTAATCAATAGTTTAGTACGTAGTCTAACACTTAAACCTAATTAATCAATATTGCATTCCTTCCTTTTAGTCTACGTGTCCCTACTCTATAAAATTGGTTAGTAAGTCTTACCCAAAGGTGATGTATATGTGTGATCAGGACAGTTCCAATTATTGTTTTCCTTTATTGCTCCTAGAACATTCTAGAAGTAAACCCAACATGTATTTTGTTGTGGGGGAGGGAGTTTGAGTTACAGTTATTTCCTCATGTATCATATTTCTTCAATGTAAAAAGTAGATTAATACATGAAACCAATCATATTTCTTCAATGTAAAAAGTAGATTAATACTTCATGAAACCAACATGCTATGAATTCAAGTATTCAATAACAACATGCAATTAATTTTTATTGTGCTTCTATGACATGCCAGGAATTAAGAATGAATATATTTTTCCCCTGATACTTCTTAATTTCAATTTAAAATTTTTTTGATCTTTTAATGTACATTTTTCTAGAACATAATTTGTGCTTCTTTTATTCATATTTTATTTACTAATTTATCCATAACTTAGCATTTTGATGAGGGATATTTATTCTTAGGTAATGAAGATCTTCTTGAAATTGCTCTTGATATTGCTATTTTTTTAAGTGTTTCTTTTCCCCCCCATTTATTATCAGCTTTTAAGTCTCATTGCTTAACTAGACCAAATACAGAGTAATTCTCATGCCCATAAATATCTTGCCAATTGTTCCAAATGCCAATGGTAATCCTATATAATAAAAGAGTTATATACAAATTGACCCTAATGGCAGAAGGACAGGTGGCTATGACATGCACTAACCACCAGGGGGCAAATGCTCAATGCAGGAGATGACTCTTGGTGGTCAGTGTGCTCCCACAGGGGAATGTCTGCTCAGCCACAAGCCAAGCCTCTCCCACCTCCTCAGCAGCACTAAGAATGTCTGACTGATGGTTTAGGCCTGCTGCCATCTGTTGGACATCCCCCAAGGGCTCCCAGGCTGCCAGAGG